GGGAGTTTGGTTGCATTCAACGTTGAAGATTGCATCGATAAATACGAAAGAACACAAATTGAATCAGTCGAATGAAAATTTAAAAAAACGAACCGTTAAACTGATGAAATTTTTCGGCTCAGAAATACTCGACGAAAGTGTTTTGTTGCACATCTGATTGAGTACTGCTGAGATTTGCGCATTCTCACGCACCAACGCCCAACTGTTACAACTCGAAAACGTCACCAAAAAATGCACAAACAATGATATCGCTTTGCCATCTGCCACCTTTTCGATCTGTCATAAACAATTTTCATATGAAATTTTAATAATAATCGAATGATAATGATCATACTGCGATAACTCTGAAAGCATAACACAATAACAGAATGAATTTGTGATAATAAACACATTGCTACAAACAATAAATATACACCAAAATAGGAATATAATACAGAAAAAAAATAACCTCGAGATGAGAAGCGAACACTGGAATCAATGTGAACAGTGAAGTGATGAGGCGATTCGCGGGCTGGATGTGATTCTTGGATAGGAAAAGTGCCGCGAACGAATGTTGCACACTTGTAGAAGACATACTCTGGATAAGGCAACGGCACAACTGGCATACTCTCTGAAGGTGTGCATTGATTTTTGATTCTTCGAATTCCTTTCCACTGAATTAATCACGCAACTAAGCTTCAAAAAGTGCTTCTCCATTCAGATGGACGCAACCCAATTAAATGCGACGTTTTGAAGTGTTCTCCTTTTGTTGTGGATTATTGCTTATTTTCATATGATGAATTGGTTCGGATCTGTCTCAATATCGACATTCAAATTCAGCAATCACTCATCTTGATCTCTTACAATCGAATTCATTACCACCAAAAAAAGGCAAAAGTAAAAGACGAAATTCAACAAACGTCAACCTTGGTATCATCTGGAAATTTTGCAATACGACTGAAAATGAGTGCGATACGAAGAGTTTCTTTGCATTCCGGTAATTTCTTATCCTTTTCAAAATCGACGAACTCTCCGAATAAACGATCAAAATCGTTCCTTAAAAAAAATCACACTTCACGGCTCAAATCATCCAAACATATCAGCAATTCATTGATCGAAACATTTAATCATATCACAAATAATAACTGAACAACTTTCTGTGATACCTCTTTAAATCAAGATTATCATACATCTACGATATTACCATCACTTGCGAGTAATGTTTTTAACAGTCTTCTAGTTTCTAAGAACATTGATCAATGAATTAAATGATGTATTGGTATGCCACTACGATATCTAGGACCTCAGCTATTTCAAGCAAAGAATAGAAGAAGTAAACGTTTTCAAATCAATTAATCGATTCACCTTATCAGATTCGCGAACTTGCGTCTTTGTAAAATGCCTCGTGCAACAGCCTGGATCGCATAGACCGTAGTTGTGATCTCTTTCTGATGCTGTCTTGTTTCACGTTCACGTTTCGTTTGTTCAATGAATAATGTGCGCTGATCAGTTTCCATGCCCTTTACTGCCGACCCACACGAATCTACCACAAACTATCACGAATCAATAT